GAGAGAGAGAGAGAGAGAGAGAGAGAGAGAGAGAGAGAGAGAGAGAGAGAGAGACTGAGATCAGGATCAAATAGACCTGGAACTGTCCAGCTGTTCTAAGAGGTTGTTTCACTCTTATCTCTGATTTCCTCTCATCATCTGTTTGAAGGAAATATTTTGTTGTCTTGTAGTTTCAATAAGAAAGATGTGGAATTGTCAAGGGACTTCTTAATGTTGTGCAACTTTTAAGAGCTAAACTGAGTGAGTTGAATGTTCTGACCACTGTATCAACCTCCCTTGCCAGGCTCCCTTGCTTTCTAGAGTTTTTTTTTTAGTTGGCATCTCATTAGGTTTCCCAGGCTGGTTTTGAGCTCATGGGATCAAGGGATTCTTTAGCTTCAACTTCCTGTGTGTGTGTGTAGGTGAGACTATAGGTGTGTGCCATATTGCTCAGCTTTAAATTTTTATTAGACTTAGTCACTGTCTCACCAATGTCCCAGATTTTCTTTTATCTTTTCTTTCCCTTATCTTGCTTTGTTCCTTTGCTCTTCTTTGATCTTTTCACTTTTTTTTCTGTTTTGTTTAACTTCATTGTTGAATAAAACCCCTCACCTAGACAAAGGGTTACTCACATCCTCTGGTCTTCCCAATACAGAAGCAATCCCAGGAGAGAGGCTGATGGGAGCGGGGAAAATTCAGTTTACCTCCTGTGACATGGTGGGTCAACAGTGGCTGCATTCTACCATGGAATCACATGGCTTTGTGTGTGTGTGTGTGTGTGTGTGTGTGTGTGTGTGTGTGTGGCTTTTATTCTACAACAACTTATTCCTTGGATGCTAGTAATCGCTCTGTTGGCTCCTTCATGGTAAGGAGTAAGAACATTTTTCCTATTCTTATTGTCCATGTTAAATTTGGCTTCTTCTTATAAATAAAAATATGTTTTTTTTTTTCAGGACTAGGGGTTGAACCCAGAGATGCTCTGCCACTGAGCTACATACCCATCCTTTTTTAAATTTTGAGACAGGATCTCACCAAAGTATCCAGGCTGACCTTAAACTTGCAATCCTCCTGCCTCAAACTCCCTAGTCACTGGGATTATAGGCATGAGCAACCATACTTGGCAGTAGGAATAGATCTTTTATTGAAAACTCCTCATATGCCTTTTTCCTCACTAATGTCCCAAATTTTCTTTTCCCCTTATCTTGCTATGTTCCTTTGCTATTCTTTTCTCTTTTCTGTTTTGTTTAACTTCTTCAGTCAAATAAAAACCCTAATCCTGGACAAAGACAAGCCCTTCACTCACCTCCTTTCTGGTCTTCCCAACACAGAAGCCCAGCCTGCTCCAGGATTTTCATAAATGCTGCCCACCTTGCAACTCTGGAGTGAACTGGAGAGTGTGTGATGGCTGTTTGTGAAGCTATTCCTGACAGCTACATAAAAAATCATCCAAGTCCTGATCCTCCACTCAGTTAGGAACTGGCATTCCCCAGAAGTCTAGGAATCCAACTGCTAAGGAGCTGGGTGGCAGGAGAGAATGCAGCACCATCCTCCGTGGCCACATTCCTGATCATGAAGCCACATCCATGAGAGTCCACAGTGCAAAGGTCAATGATGCTGGTAGGCCCATTCTTCTAGAGATGAAGAAAGAAAGGTTTGGGAGTCTAGTTCAGGGGCTGAGGTCAGATGCCAACTGAGGCTTCTTGACTTCTAAAGCAGTGATCTCCTCACACCTCATGGATAATCTCACTGGAATGTGAGCTCAAAGAGGGCACAGGCTTTGCTTCCTTAGCCTCTATGAAGTCTGTGCTTAGAATATGCTATGGAATAGCAAGTGCTCAGCATTGTTTTTTTCTTGCATGAATAGAGTTCAATTTTTATTTAGTTAAATATTAGTAACTTGGTACATTTTTATCTCCTTAAAAACTCCTATGATGGCATTCTCACAATAGTGTCATTTTATAGATGAAGAAACAGAGGCTTAAAGTAAATTATAAACATAGATAAAAGCAGAGAGATGTAAAAGGCCAAAATGGGGTTTGAAGCAAGAGCTAATTTTTCTGACTCCAGACTCGAATCAGCTGTTACACTTTAAAAAAAATGGTAATTCAGCGTTAAAAAGCAGCAGCTATCATAAAAATCAATAGTCCTTTAAAGTGTACTGAATCCTGATCTCTATCTAAAGTAATAAATAAATGGATTAGGGATGCACCACAGTGGTGGAGTACTTGCCTGAATTTTGTGGGGCTCTGGGTTTCAATCCCCAGCACTGAAAAATAAAATCAGACAAAAAATTGGTTAGAGAAATGCATACATATATAGAGAGACATTTTATCTTTCACTCCAAAGCCATTAAATTGCCTCTGTTATTAACTCACTGTCCACTTGAAGCAGTTTATTGGCTTCTGCTGCAGCCATGATCAGTGGTCACCACATTATTCATCACAGTGAATTTAGAAAAGGCAGAATAAACTTACCTGTCAGAGACAGGCACACTACATCTTAGTCAACAATATGACTTATGAAAATAAAGGCAGAAAATTGTCTTAGAGTGAAATAATTCCTGATAATCAGTTACTATTTGCCAAGCATTTTACCAGGACCACTGTAAAAATGATCACATTAAGGTCTTAGAGAAACGTTGTAAGTTAGTAGTATTATCTCAACTTGCAAACGTGGAAAGAGAGAGAGAATTCAATAGTGTGTCTGAAGTCATACTTTCCATCAGTGGTGGAGCTGGAATTCAAATTCTGAAGCTGCAAAGCACATACCAATTATTGGAAAAAAATTGAATTAATAAATTGGCTGTTTAACGGGTTAAGGTTACATGACAAAAGATATTAGAGAGATCAAAACCCTTTGGTTCCTACCACCTGTTTGTGGTAGGCTAAAGACAGACTGTGTTTGGATTTGGAAGCTGTGCTTTGTAAGTGTAAGTGGTGGTAGGTGGGGGGCAAATAGGAATCAGAGAGAGAAGGATAGGTTGGAGGAAGGGACATGGAAATAAAAAAAAGTCTAGAATAATGAAGCCAAGTGATATCTGCTTGGGAAAGATCACCTTTTGTTTTAGCCTGCTGACCAGAAAGATGCTGGTAAGATAATTCTTCTAAGTGCTTCTTATTAATATATATTCAGAATATCTATTATCAGGTTTGGGGAAGATTTCATTGTTTCTAATTAGTACTAAAGCAATTATCAAAAGTAGGGTGGGATTGGGAAGTAAATTTAACATGACTTTCTACCCCTAGTTGCTCTGCTTGGGGATTTTTTTCTGAAGGGACTTGGGCAAGATAAATGACTGTTCTGATTCTATTTATATTTTGTGGTTACTCATAGAAATGTCCTTTTGTGTTACAGAAAAGATTTTCTTCCAGAGGGTCAGATTATTTCTTATCCACCTAACTCTTTGTTTTTTGGAAGTAACTCTTGATTCTATAACCCTGTGCCTGGGGCTAAGGACTAGATGCTGAGCCCTTCATAATTGAGTTCATCTCATTTCTGCACCTCAATTTTGCCCACTCAACTTGCTTACATCAATGATCCAGCTGTTACTGGGTAGGAGGCAAATCTCTGGGCAGGAACCAAGGAAGTGAATGGATGTGAGAAAGCCGTCTTCTGAGCTACTTCTAAGGTCAGATCTGGGATCCTGTGCAGTTAGCGAGATCTGGGTGCAGCTGTTTCCATCTTCAGCAGGCATCCTCTATAGCCTTTTCATGGTTCAAATCCTTTGTCTCTCCTCCTTCTTCACCTCAGGTTGACTCTTCTGAGATCTCTGCTCCACAGCGGAGCACCTAGAAGCTCTACAACTCACAACCAGGAAGAAGGGAGGCTAAACACACAGGGCATAAGAGGTATGGAGGGACTGGAGGGTGGATGTTTAAATCCGTGATTTTATGTAAGTGCCGGAAGTACTGTTGAGACCCTTTGAGGATCTTTAATCAATTCCCTACTGTGGATAGGTCTCTGGACCTCATTATCTCAGTCTCTGAGGGAAATATAAAAAGGAGACAACTTTGAGCTGCCTGGATGGGAAGTCCAGTGGGTGCCATGTTCTTGTTACTACTGCTGAAGGATGTTGAGAAAATTTTTAACAAACTCTGCAACTCCAGGAAAGCAGAGCATGTGCTGTTGATAATGTTGCATGTATGGTACAGCACAGTTCCAATTATGTACATTGGGAGTGACCTTGGGCATGGTAGGCATAGATAACCGTATTTGATATTTTGAAAGGGCTTTTTAGTAAGCTAGACACAGAAAGACAAATATCACATAATCTTACTGTTGTGGAATCTAATAAAGTTGGTCTCAGAAAATGTGAGTAAAACAATGGTTACTAAGGACCAGGGAGAGAAAGGGGGGAAAAGGGATGAGGAGAAGGTGCTCGATGGGCACTAATTTAGAGTTCTATATGAGAAATGAGTTCTGGTGTTCCATTGCATGGAGGGTGACTCTGTTAAAATTGAATAGCGAGGGTTAGGGTGAAGCTCAGTGGTACAGCATGTGCTTAATAGGCCCTGGGTTGAATCCTTGGTACCAAAACAAAAGAAAGAGAAAAAAAAAATAGAAGGCAACACAATAAACAAATTTTTAAAAAACTTGAAAATGAGTTTTTATAGGTAAATACAAAGATATGAAGAGTTAGCCATCCATTTTTGGACACTGGGAAAGTTGAGGGGGAAGACAATTAGAGACAGGAAGGGAGGGCCATTTCAGTTTTTTTATCACTCAGATAATCAAAATGAACTTGTTGGCTTTCTCTTGGGAGTGTGAAGGTAAAGCTATAAAGGAATGTTCCAGAGTCTCCAAACCAGTCCCAAGAGTTTATTCCAGTTTGTTGACCTGGTTGGTCCTGTGGCCTCACTCTCGTGTTCTTGATGGATG